ATATATATATAATATTACATTATTTAATTTTATGTTTTTAAATGTTGAAAACATTAACCGTTATATTTGTCCAGAACTGTCGTTTTACTTATCTTTCGAAATACTGTGGGTTGGTTAATCGTAATTATCTTCACTGTTGTTGCATCAAGCACTGTGTAATATTTGTGAACGCTTAGCGTGCTGTCATTATTCTGAGATGTAGGTCAAGGAAATGCAAATATCTCTGCCATAATTGTTGTGATTAAATTTCATAGAGCGACCACCTGACTCGCCTTGGTACATCTCTATAGTATTTCGAGGAAAATTGATTTAAACCGAAAATGATTAATAACATAATATCTTTGTTTACAGTTTTGATGCGTACTCTATATATTGACAATTCACTTATCGTGAATTATCCGATTTGATAATTTGTCTCGATGAATAAATAATAGCTATCTCAAAGTACAGTTTGGATAAATTCACAACAATTCATCAAATCTTGCGTAATTCTGACGGTGAATACATTTGATACAGAAGAAAGATGAATAAAAAATAACTAAAACTAGAAAAATGATAATTGATTGTTCATAGAATTATAGAGAATCAAACTATACGAGCAATTCATTTAAATATTTCGTTTGTTCACTTGATAAATAATCTCTACAATTTTATTTCCTGTGTTCCGTGTATAAAATTTTTTCGTTCATAATACGCAAATGCGAAATTATATTTCTATGCATTATATATAAACTGTGTATTTTTAGAAGTGACTTCAATCGAACTTTGATTAATTAAGTCGTTAATTAGATCAGCTTAATACAGAATTTAAAAAAAAAACTTCAAGCAAAATTTTTAACTATATTATCCTTCTCTTTTTTCATTTATTAAACGACAAAAAAATTATTCTATCCGTGGATTAATAAATTACTACAGATTTTATTCAATGAGTTAATTATCATTCAAGTTAACCGCAGTTTCATTGTAGTTACTTAGGTTTTTTTTTTTATCAGGATTTCTGCTTTGGGAATCATTATCTTGATATTCAATAAGTATTCAGTTTCTATTTATATGCCTCTTTGTTTTCAGTCCCACTGGAGATGCGAATTCTCATGAGGGAACATTTCAATCGTTGGTATCGGCTGGCGCCGTATTACATCAGCATATTACTGATCGAGATACCTTTTCAAGCGGCATGTGCGGTGTTATATCTGATAGTGAGCTACTGGTTGACTGCACAGCCCATAGAAACGAATCGTATAATATTCTTCAATATAGTTAGCATAGCTGCTAGTCTAACGGCGCAAGCATGGGGTTTCTTCATCGGCGTTACCACGCCAATTAAGGTAAATCTCTTTGGAATGCTTGTTTTTTTTAAGTAACATCCATTTATGTAAAATCCTAAATTCATTTTGGATCTAAAGTTATGCGATACAGATATGCATATTAATTAAATTCTTATAATTCAGATTCTAATTAAAATTTTAGATCGCTATTGATATTTAGAATTAAAAAGAATTATTCTTATTCGGAAAATAGTCAACGACGAGATAAGATATGTGGAAAAAAATATAGAGGAAATTAAAATTCTTGAAAAATATTTATATGTAAATACATGTACATATTTATATCTATCTTTCACATGTAAATACATGTACATATTTATATCTATAATCCGAATTTATTGCGCTGTGTTAAAAATATTCAATTTTAGATGTGATGTAGGAAAAAGACACTGAATTTTTCGTAATTTTTTACAGATTGCCGTCTTCGTTGGCCCGATAATCGCGGTATTGTTCTCGATCTTCGGGTTCTGCATACGTTACTTCGATACACCACAAGCGTTTCGCTGGATGTTTCATATATCATACTTCCGTGCTAGTTTCCATAGTCTGATATATACTGTATACGGATACGATAGAATGGACTTATTGTGCGATGAATTTTATTGTCATTATAAGAAACCAAGTAAATTTCTCAAAGAAATGGAAATCAATGATATAAGTGTGATCAATAATCTGATACTTGTCCTCGGTATCGGGGTGCTGATGCATCTTCTAACGGCCAGCGCGCTTTGGTGCAAGCTCAATAGAAGATGAATCAAATATGATCCGATCAAATACAACACAGTATTTATGGTATTGCGGGCAGTCGCTTTGAGAAACAACATAAAAGTTCTGAGATGCTTTCACGGGAAACGCGAAAATACAAATAAATTCCATGAGAGAAATTTTGGAAACTAAGAAAATTGGATTATATTAGTAAAGCCGTTATTTCTTTAGATCTTTTAATCTTACTGGATACGAGATGTTCTGCAGCACTTTGAGAATGTTTTTCTATCTAATCAAAGAAAACCGGGTGTTATCATCGAATCTTGTAAAGCTATCAGTTGCAGACAGGCTTTTTAAAGTACTTTATTTAGGGAAATAAAGTACTAATTCGAATTATTTTGTATTAATCGAGACAAGACGCTGTAATCGCCAACAATTTTGTTTATAAAAATTGGTGATATTAAAATAGCAAGATTTATATATAGGATGTTCCCAAAAAGATGATACCAAATTTTAAGAATATGTAGTATTTAAAACAAACCAAAAAGTCTTAATGAACAATACTCCGACCTTTTATTTTTGAGTTAGCATTTTCTTCTGTGAAAAATAGAAAATAACTTTTAAATTTACAATAAATGTTGCCCTTCGTCCATTTCAACATACAATTCGGCACGTCCTCATTAAAGATCGAACATGTTCAAAGATTCTGGATTTATTTTGTATTTGTTGACAACAGTTTTCAATTCTCTGAGTCAGTTCATCTATCAACTGATGTGGCATATACCATGCTCTTCAAGTATCTCCATAGATAATACCAACGGATTTAAATCCGGAGAGCGAAGTGACCATACAACTGGACCGCCACGTCTTATCCACCTTTCTTGAAAACGATTGGTTAAATGACGTCTGATATTAACGAGGAAGTGGACAAGGACACCATCATGCATGAACTACATTGTTGTAAAAAAATATCTCTCAAAAGTTCTTTTCAAAAGTTCGAATAAATTTTCGAGAAAATTAAAATATACTTGTCCTGTTAGTCTATTAGGCAAAATGTAAGATCGATTAGAATACAAAAATACTTGCCCAAACGTTCACAGAAAAACGATACTGATGTCGTGATGCTATGATAGTATGAGGATTTTCATCTCCCCAAACGTATATGTTGTAAATGTTATTGATCCCATCCCTGGTGAAGGATGCCTCAGTAAACAAAATATTGCACAAAAATTGTGGATCTTGATTGCATCAATGAAGAAGCTATTGACAAAAAGTGATTGCAAATCAACTGGTAGAAGAGCCTGAACGTGACATGATAAGAATGCAAAAATTGATCATGCAAAATATTCCACACAGTGTGATGGCTTGATCTTTCTTGCAGGGCGATTCTTCGACAAGATGTTCCAGGATTTTCTTCAATTGTGCGTAAAATATTTTCCTCGAATGCAGAAATTCTAACAAGTGGTCAACTAAATTTGATTTGAACTGTCCGGTCTCACGTAAGCGTTGATGAATTTTGCTAAACATTTTTCTATTTGGCTGTCGGCGATTCGAATAAGTTGCATGATACGTGCTACCTTTGAAGCATTGCCCTTTGCTTTGCCACACATAAAATGAATATCCGTCATTTCAGAATTTGTGTAAAAATTAGTCATTTTTCAGATACACATAACACAAAACTAGATACAATCCAAAGTTGAATACAACAATCTCTGCGTAATTAGGTGGAGTAAAGTCACATGCGGATGTCCGTGAATGAACTAAGAGACTTGGAAACTATTGTCAACAAATACGAAATAAACTTGGAATCTTTGACCTTCAATGACGAAACATGCCGAATTATGTATCGACATGAGCCGAAGCACATTTATTATAGATTTAATTTATTTTCTATTTTTTACAGAAGAAAATACTTCATAACAGAAATAAAAGGTTTTCGAAGTACTGTTCATTAAAACTTTTTAGTTTTAACGAACTTTTAGTTTTACTACATAAAATTTGGTACCATCTTTTGGGAACACCCTCTATACTTTGTATAAACAAAGTATAAGGATTATACAAAACAAAGTATCTGTATGTATGTAAGCTTAAATGATAAGGACAGATATACATGATATAGCGTGCATTGGACGTCGTTATTATTACTACTTATTACTAATTATTAGTACTTAATATTGTAATTTAAAATCCTAAATAATTCGATATATTTAGTTTAATCTTTAGTGTTTATTTAATTTGCGTTTTTAATATTATTCTATGGATAGGCGAAATTGCCTAAATACAAACATGTGAAGGTTTTGTTAATTAAATATTTTGCACTCTCTATTTGCATATATCTTATCATAGAAAATACGATATTTTTTTTTGTAGCGATCGTATTTTATAGAGAAAAATATATAAAATGAAAATAAATATATTACGTCGATTTTTCTAAGAGAAATTGGTTCTTTTTTTAGACTGTTTTTTTATGAGTCATTCTTTAAGAGTTATTATAAATCGTTGAATAAATTAATTTACTTTTATTTTCTTTATTTCACGTTGTCATTTTTACATAATTACATGTTTTTCAAATCCTTACATAAAACGATCCAAAGTAATACAATCCCAATTAATAAGCCTGCAAATTTATACAGAGTGTTTCAGAAATAGCTGGCCAAACTCTAAGAGCATATTCCACTCATTGTAATGATGAAAAATGTAAACATGGGTTCGCTTTCTTTCCATGTTATAAACATTTTTTTATTTTATATTTATACGTAATTTTATTTTATACCTATATTTTATTTTATACTTGTATCTATTTTTTGTTTTATACTTATATCTATATTTTCATTACAGAAAATGCTGGAAATGATTTTCTTCCGCATCGATGCTTCGCATCGACATCGCAGCGATAATATGATTTCGGACTACTTCCACAGTAGCAACAGGAGTATCATACACTGCGTACGAAAAAATACGAAATACTTCGAGAATTTTTTAATGACGATCCACGTATGTTGATGCGAAGCATGCATCGATGCAGAAGAAAATCATTTCCAGCAATTTCTGTAATAAAAATATAGACACAAGTATAAAATAAAATATAGGTATAAGTATAAAATAAAAAAAAATGTTTATAACTTGGAAAGGAAGCATTTCCGATGTTTATATGACTTTTTTTTATCCTTACAATGAGTGGAATATATTCTTAAAGTTTGGCCAACTATTTCTAAAACCATGTATATGAGTACATATTTATTATGTATATGAGTACATATTTGATTTATAATCCTGACATTAACTATTTTTTTACGTTTTGCAGTATCAATGAAGATATATATATATAATCAAGAGAGAAAGATGAAGGATTATTTTATAATTGTGAAGTTATCAATTATGAATAATTAAAGAAAATTTCAAGAAATGAGACATATATGAAGAGAGAAGAAACGTTTGGAAATAAAATTACAGTATTATAGCTTCATTTCTTATCAATTCACCGATTTATTGCAGATAATATCTTATAAAATATTAAATAATATCTTATTTAAAAAATATGATCTTGGAATCAGATATATTGCAACTTTTTTTAAAATAGTATTCAAATATTGTCATTCTTCAGTAAATACTGCAGCTGATTGAAAAAACATTACAATTTATTACGAAAATATTGTTATCCAAGATTAATTTTCCAAGATTAATTACATTTTACATAGAGGAATGTACAATACATTTTGCACTAGAAGCTTCGCGTTTGCGCAGTGCAAGTTAGTCAGTAAGAATAAACTTTTGCAATTATAATTTGTTTTAAAATTTTTTATTTGCGACATTATATGATCTCTTCTTACAGTTTACAATAGAATTTATTTTCAGTATGAGAATTTGAACAGTTGATAACAAACTGACAAATTTACTCTCTTAATCTTACAAATATTATAGTTTATACCTCATTTAAACTTAATCAGAATGGATTAATTTGCTAAAATACGAATATACTTATCGTTTTAACTACATTTAGAAGAGCATACTTAAATAGCATCTATCGAAAAGTAATTATTTTTATGATAATAGTAACAGTGATAACAATAATTCCAGTCTTATTCTTGCATATTAATAATTCTTGAGAATATTTTCTATTGTTCGTTTTACTTTCTTATACAAGTAACCATAAACATAGGTACCATACATAAAAATGATATTGCCATCACAGTAATTTCTAAGAGGAAGGTAATACTGTACTTCTTACTAATTTGCTCTTTCTCTCTTGTAACTTTAAGTATTAAAACAAAATAAAATTAACGACTAGAAATAAAATTAATGAAAGACTTAATAACATATATGATCTTTCATCTACTGATTACATGGAGATAATTTACATTGAATTTATTCTATGGAATATTGTATGTATATGAAACTGCATGTTAGTACTTCTATGTTATATATA